CTTCTCCCCATTTGGCCAGCAGGTATCACTGGCCATCCTGTCCTCCCTGTTGTCAGTCTGTAGTATTTTCCCTGCTCCCTGTTGGCTGCATGGCTCAACAAGCTGAGCATATATGCAGCTACCTGTTAACCCCTCTGTTGTGTGTTTGGATCCCACCTCCTCTGTTTTTGTATTTGATTCCCTAGTGTTTCATTGGTATCAGTTTTTGTAGTTCCTGTGATTTTGTGGTTTGTTTTCTGTTTTGGTTTCTAACTTAGTGCCTTGGTTGTGTTTTACTTCTCTTTCTTATTTCCCCAGTGTTAGATTCTGTTTTCCTTGTTTCTTTGTTAGTTCCTAGTTTTCCTGTTTAGTTTCTGAGTTAATTATTAGTTTCACCTTTTGCATTGATTCAGTTACCATCATTTGCCACATGAGATAAAAATCAATTTCTACGTACTGTATCAGTTTAAATGGTTATTGTAATTATGCTACTCATATTTGTTGCTGCTACAATCCCATTTCCAAAATAAGTTGGGACACAGTATGAAATGTAAATAAAAGCAGAATGCAATGATTTGCAAATCATGTAAACCTATATTTTACTGAAAATATAACAAAAACCACATATCAAATGTTGAAACTACACTGAAAAAAAAAATTGTCAGATTTAATTAATTTTATTATGATACCTATTTCCATCTAATTTAATTAAGGAGTTCTAACATAAAAAAAATGTCTAAGTTTTACATACCTTGGTACCTTGGTTTACGAGCATAATTCGTTCTGGAAACATGCTTGTAATCCAAAGCACTCGTATATCAAAGCGAAGTTTCCCATTAGAAATAATGGAAACTCATATGTGTCATATCCCGCTCCGTCCGATCCCGATGTGTGCCACGCCCACCTCGTTACCTCGTGTGATTCCCTGATTATTCTCACCTGTGATTCGTTACCCTTAGCCTGTCTCTTGTATTTAGTCCGTGTCTGAGTCAGTAGTCCCCAGTTCTGTCATTGACGTTGCTGTCGTGTTTTCCCCGGTCCTGTCTGCGTGCAATAAAGTCACGTTTACCCTGCTTCCTTGGTCAGCTCGTCTGCTTGCCTGCTCGCCTGCACCACCGATCGTGACAGAATGACAGAACTCTGCAAGAAAACACCTCACATCGGCGAGGCTGAATACCTCGACCTCGCTGACGAGGTTTTATACTGGCTGAATCAGCCCGAAATCCGGGATGATCCCATACTACGGGCTATAGCCAGCCGGAGCAGGGAGGTCTTGGAAGAGATGTCCCTGCCCGGAGACGCGCACCTTGCGAGGGAGGTGCGCAGCAACGTGCGGCGGCTGAGAAGCGGGGTGGCAGAAGCGAACCTGCGTAAGGTAACCCTCTCCTGCGGACTGCCATGTGGACCGCTCTCGGATGTACCTGAGGTGTCCCAAACACCGCCGCCCACTGCAGCGCACGGAGAAAGACGGAGAAATAGACAGAAAGACGCACAGGAGGTCCGTCTGGGGACCGTCTCTCTTTCTTCCGCTTACCCGGCTGCAGGTAGGGAGAATCCCCGCCCGATTCTCGCGGGTGACGTCACCGCTGCTTCGCCTAGGCAGACGCCCGAAGCCCGTCTGCCCGCCGCTTCGCTGCCCAAGCCTGAGCCAGCCGGCCCCTTCATCGGGACGCGCCTGGCCCTTAAAGGGGCCAGGTCCATTAAGGACGCTGTCCCGCTGGTTCCGCGATTTCGGACGCGGGCAGTGCCCCCCGTGCTTCCTGAGGCTGCAGCTGCCTCCCCAGTGGCTCCCCTGCCTGCAGCTCTGCCCCCTGTGATGGCCCCTGCTGCTGCTGCTACGGCGCCCACGGCCCCTGCTGCTGCTGCTACGGCGCCCACGGCCCCTGCTGCTACGGCGCCCACGGCCCCTGCTCAGCTCCCCATGACTCCTGAACTCCCCATGGTCCCCATGCCAGGAGTGAGTGCGCCCCCAGAGGCGCCTGTGTCGTCTCCTGCCCCTGCGGCGCCCCCAGAGGCGCCTGTGTCGTGTCCTGCCCCTGCGGCGCCCCCAGAGGCGCCTGTGTCGTCTCCTGCCCCTGTGGTGCCCCCTGCTTTACCACACGCCCCCAGTGACTCCCGTGCCTGCAGCTGGTCGCATGTCCGCGGCCCCGCCTGAGGCCGCCGCTCTGCCCGCGGCCCCGCCTGAGCTCGCCGC